TACTTATATTATGTAATATTTATCATCAGTGAATTATGGTCATGGTGTCTTGATTTTATATTGTTTTTACGTCTGCAATTCTGTTTGTTTGATTGTTTGTCAGCGTGCCATCTAGTCATTCGAATCATTGGCCTGCCAACCATTTTAAGACATCCCACCAAACAAATTCTGTTGGCTGTTCTGTCTCCGGATCTATTTTTTTTCTTCACAGCGCATTTCTTATCCTGATTTATTTTTTACAGCATGCACCCCCCTCCCTCACCAGGCAAGCTGGAGCTGGACCTTGGGGCAAGATTCATTTTCTTAATGTAACAGGCCCGGCATGTCAAAATAAAGAGTGTTTACTTATGTAAGACTATGGAAAATAATCCTTCATTTTTAGTCTGAAAGACAAATTGAATATGTTCATTGTCTTGTGACATTTTTGAAAAAAATTACAAAACCGTTTAAGATCAAAAAGAATTGCGAACGGAATTACCAGTAAAAGGGGAAGAAAACAATTATTCATTTTGTTGTTTATTTTTCTGGCTTGTCACCTGACTTTCCGTCATGTGCCAATACACCTATTTTCGCTTGATAAGTAATGCATTTAACTGCTAAATAATGCGGACATAAGAAACAGATAAAAACAGATTCAGTTATGATTTAATTTTCGAAACTTTAATAAGCAAATCAAATGAAATAAGATCATTGGGATCTTTTTCAATAATTTAGTAACACAGTTTCGGTTTGTACATAGAGCTAAACAACGAATTGCCAAGCTATCATTTCTCTTCTCATGCGTCTGCTCGTTTACCATTTACAACTACGGCATTAACTGCTCTCCCATATTTTCTATAAAAAATCATTTTATGAGGTGTAATTTGGATATTCTAAAAGCTTCTATTCCTCCAAAAATGTACGAAATGTGTTGAAACGTAGTTATGGTCAGCCCTATACACTGGAGGCTGTTTGCTTCTCACTCATTCCGACAGGGTGTATTGTTTTTATATCTCTTCAATATTTTCCCATTCGTATCATAAATCAGAAATTTCTGCCTATTTTTCCCCTTTTCAAAATGACCTTTCTTTCTTTTTTTCTAAATTTGCTTTCTTTAAACAGTCCCTAGACAAAGCTTTATTTAGACTTATCCAATGTACGTTCGTGTAAGTTAAGATGCCCTTAATCAACTTCTACAAAATGCTATGCCGAATCAATGTCAGTGCACATCGTACATATATTACACGTTTTTATCGACTTGCATGAGCTCAGCCAAATACCATTATTTTTCTCTAACTCTTAATTTGATCACATTAGTATTCACACTGTCCTTCTATCTTTATTAATTATTACTAGTAGGCCTGCCACTGTTGATTATCTCTTCCACCATCAAACGACAACCACGTGTACGAAATAATTTGTGCCAGCAGTTACTCATTAAATTATACAACTAATTAAGCAAAAAAAAAAAAAAAAAAAAAAAAAAAAAAAAAAAAAACTATAAATGTCACACCAAGTTGAAATATTTCATTAATATAGTTGTGATCTCTCTCTATTTCGCTCTCAAAAACACGCACAAACAAGCACACACACACGCACACGCACATACACTCAGACACTCAAGTATGGACACGTAAAGACATGTTAATCGGAGTCCCTTGCCCATCCTGTCAGCTCCTAAGATAGTCATCTCAGCAGTGATCTGCATGCTCCACATATGCTTATATCGTGATGTATATGTAAAAGACTGAGGTATGAGGGACGAAATGCACAGTCATCTTTATTCTAATGAGTACAGACACACTATGAAAAAAAAACATGATTACTAATATGTTTTTAAACATTCTAAGCTCATTAAACGGGGCCTTACTATATCTGTATTTTACACGCAAGTTGGATATAGCAAATAAATATGAATTTGACACTTTTGCGGGGAGTCACTTTTGCCAAAGTGCAAAATTCTTCGAAATGGGGAATTTATTAGGCACAGGGACGGTTTTGATGCCGTTCATCAGCGTTTTTATTTTTTCACGCAGGCTACAAGAATTTGGTTAGTCTGTGGTCAGGATATGTGTGTGTAAAATCCTTTTTTTTTTTTTGGTTTTTATTTCAAATAAAAATGTCCAGTTTTTAAAAGTTCCTTCCTAAATTTCGCCACACTTTATATCACAATTCAATAAACGATTTTATATATGATGTCAATAAGTTTTACATTTCTTCACCTACAAATGTATCAAATCTTGTTAACATTTCATCGGTTATCCTGAGCCCTAATTTAGAGACATATATGATATTTAGACTTAGTCAAAATTCAGTTTAACTGGGACATAAACTAGAATTCCATATATCACATATAGATTGAAAATTGCGAAAAGTTAAAGCGTGAAGGGGGTGCTAAATGATGGCACCACTTGCTGCTTTAACTAGTAGTTTGAGTCTATTACCGAGGTCAGTGGATTTAGAGAGCGGACGAAGTAACCATGTCTTTAAAAGTAATTGTCCATCACATGTGCTCCCTATTTGAGGAGCCAAAATTTAGGCTAAGTAGGAATATCACCTGAACCAAATCATTCCGCGGTTTATTTTCCAGCTGATTGAGCATATATATAGTTCAGTTGAGGAGTCACAAGTTTAGAAAAGACATCTTAATGTGTCTGAAACAACTTAATTGTCCCACTTTTAGTTGTGCTCAACCAGGGAACAACATTCCGTGTTCATATTTAGACTAAGAGTCACCTTTATTTCTATTTTCCTTCAAGAACCCTATCATTTCTTAGCATTTCAATCCCATCATTTAGCAGCTGCGAAATGTCATGGATTTCACTTGGTACTTTATTTACTTATTCGAACCAATTTACATACGAATATAATGAAAATCAAAATTTGACGTTCCAAGTAATTAAGGGCAGTCCAAGCTTAATATAGTGCCACTGTCTTTTCTTTTGGCATCTTGTTTATTCACAAGTCTCTCTGCTGTTGTTTTCTTTTAAATAAAATATCTCATGCAACATCAGGCGAAACCGATTTTAACTAAATTGCATTCTTATATGGAATAAACCAGTGAACCATTACAAGGTTAATAGCATGTAAGTAGCCGTATAATTTGCACTGGGATCAAAAACGCCTCCCAAGACATGAAAACATGTTACGCGCTACTCGCAAGCGCGATAAAAACTTGTAGAGGCGACAAAAGAACGTGACAGTCGTAAAATACCAACTTGATATCACACCCCTGGAGAACGCCCACATGCTGAAACCGCCAGATATCCATCTCTTAAAAATGAAAATACATATTTGAACTTATTAATAATTAATAAGTATGAATCCTAATAATAATCCGTGGGGGTTCCAATTACATGCTCGGGAGGCTCGGTCTATAATTAGTACCTCGTCGCTCGAGCCCCGGTGTCTAAATTTCCACTTGATTAAGGTGCTAAACTTGCTCCACGTTTGCAAATTACGAATTAATAATCAGATAGAGACGGGAGACGAGCTGCCTTATAAACCTTGAACATGAGAGGCTCACGTAAACTCCTCTCGTGACAAATGTGATTTAGAGGCCAAGACACTACCAGCTAATGAGGTGCCCCATGAAGAACCCGATCCCTGCCACGCCTCTCACGCCATCTGCCGGCATTTGATTTATCTCAGGGGGTGTGATCCGATCTCCTTTTTACATTTTTGATGATAATACTTTGTAAACGTAGTTGAAAATTCACATCACGCTATTTTGTGTAGCTCTTTTAGCGTCATTCTGTCTACAAACGTTCAGATAGGTGCATGGACCCATCAGTAGGCCTACACTGGAAAAGATGTACAGAGGATGAATGACTTGGATTGAGAGAGAGAGAGAGAGAGAGAGAGAGAGAGAGAGAGAGGCATGTACCTTTATATGGGAAAGAGACTGTAAATCAGTCCGTCATTTCATCAAAAAGAATTTAAGTTTGGTTATCTATTGCCAGCCTCACTTCTAAGTGACCGGTGACGCTTTTTAGGAAAAAGGTCTTGTTTGCTAGTTAACTTAAGTACAGTAATATAAGGAATTCATACTGCAGGAAGGGAATTTAAACAGCAATTAGCAGATAATACAAAATATGTGTTCAACTAGCAAAGAATTTGAGAAGGGATAAAATAAAATTAAAAATAAATAAAATATAGACAGAGAGGGAAATACCCAAAACGTTGATTTGAAAATTTTTGCCCTTTCTGAAAATTAACAGGTTTAGTGATAAACCACATCCTCAAGACTGTTCAAGAAAAATATTTTTAAAAATTCTCTTTCAGTTCCTCTCTTTCTCTTGCTTCGTAGATCTTTCTACAAAATATAATTTAGCTTCAAGAAACATACCCAAAGACTTGTTTTCAAAATTGCCTCCCCCCCCACGATTTACAGAGCCATAGTAAACATTTAACAATAAGCACTAAAAGCACTAAAATGTTTACAGACACATTTTATGTTAAATCAAATGAACTCTTATGTAATTAACTTTACTAGATTGACCGATTTTCGTTATTTATAACGAAATCGTCTAACACACGAACAAGTCATCATGAACATAGTCCAGAAAGGGTTTTCTTATAAAGAAAAAACTAAATGTTTTAAAGTAGTCCTATTACCACCTCTCCGCCGTATCAACTCTCCTCGTTCTTTTGATAAGCATCAGACCACAAGAGCAACGTCTGTCCCTTACCAGGTTTGATTTTGACCGATTTGGAACCCCCGTTGATAATCAACGCTGCATTCTACCGCAAATCTAAAAAGTATATTTCATATTGTCGACCAGAAGCCGGCGGCGTTTATTTTACAACTTAATCTCACACAGGGAAACAAATGAATAAGAGCAGGAGGAGCAGCGAAAAAAGTGGAGCTCCTGGGGAATTGTTTTGTTATTGCTTGTTGACTAAATTAAAAGCATCCGGTTCGCTGTGCGGCGCGTAAACCTTGCCTGTCATGTCCGTGTATGCTCCACTTCAATCATGTGACTAATATTTTGATTAATACCCCAATGAGAAGACCGATCAACTCGTATTAACTTTGATGATTAGTGGGCGGCAGGCTGTCAGTTAGCAGAAAGGAGGCGGGGTCTTTCAACTTGCTTCCCGCCTAATTAGCATACGTCAGTGTAGTTCCTACTTTCAAATCCCACTCCAGTGAGAGATGTCAGTAAAGTCGGTCACAGTTTAAGAAGAGACAAGTAACCTCAAGGAGTTTACACTTAACAATCACTTGGACTTTGTGGTTCAAAAACTTTGAACAGTGATGGAGCACGCAAGCATGTCTTCCCCCACATCAGACTCGGGCAGAGAGAGCGAAAGGGAGTCAGATTCGGAAAACTTTCCTGCCACTGCCAAAATGCCGACTAAATCCAGTGATGATCCAAAGCAGAGTAGTACAAGCAATAGCAGTGATGAGTTATCAACAGACATACAGCAAGCAGTAGCGTCTGTTCTAAAGGGCTACGACTGGTCTCTGGTGCCCATGCCAACCCGTGGGCCGGGATCAGACAAACGCAAGCCGCACATTAAGAGACCTATGAATGCCTTCATGGTGTGGGCCCAGGCAGCAAGAAGAAGGCTGGCCGACCAGTACCCACATCTTCACAACGCAGAGTTGAGCAAAACTCTAGGCAAGTTATGGAGGTAAGTTGTTAGGATATGATACGTTATTGATTTTAATGCAATCATTCTTATGGCAGGCTGTGGCCAGAAGTCGTCATGTCACGTGCTACCTGCATGGGGTGTGTGTGTGTGTGTGTGTGTGTGTGTGTGTGTGTGTGTTGGGAGGGGGGGGGGGGGTATTTTATCAAGGTGCTGGTCTTCAAAACATCACCCCGTCCTTCTTAAGTGAGAAAAGCACTTGAAATCACAACGCATACTTCGTTTGAAGTTTTCTTCGTGTGAACTACCTCATCCAACAGAGCTTGCAATTAATCTTAAAAGCACGCCTTCTCTTATTAACTCCTCCAAACTAGTTGTGTACAGGTGTGAGTGTACAAGTAGTTGGTGAAACGTGCGTCTTGGACTTCCTGCTTTCAAAGAGGAAAAAAGATTGATTTTTGTTGTCGTCTTTTCCGCAGGTCGCCGCCTTGTTAATTAGGCAGCCACAAAGCTGAGCGCGTCTTACGTCGACATGCATCATTTTGTTAACTTAAATCGTAGTGCCGCCATCTCCTACGTTACACAAATGTACATACATACATATATACACACGAATACAGGTTTGACAGAATTGCTCAAGTTCGTGCTAAAACACATAACACTTTTTATTATATTTTGTGTGCCTTTTATAAGATACCGATTTAAAAAAGAGGAAGGGAAAAAAACGAGTAGAGGATCATCAAAGTAGCATAGGATCTGCAAATGTAAATGGGCACGCTGTATAACAAGTTCAGTCAATAGCGAATCAGACACTTCAGTTTGAATATTTGCAACACAATATGAGTAAGCCACTCTGTAAATTTAACTTAGGAAATTGCTGTATACAACGGATGCGGGAGTTAACATCTCGGAGACTGCATCTCATTTTCAGTGTTGGGGTGAAAAGACGTGGGCTTCTCCGGCAACCCTTTGGATTAAATGACTAATAATATCTTGGAACGACCTGGGCACTATCCTCCGGCAGTAATAACATCGGTTTTATGGTATTGTTACAGTTTGGACACCCACATTTCACTTTCTAATAACTGGACCACTTGTGAAAGCACAAATTACAAAAACATCTGGGCAGTATAATAGGTTGCACTCCCCTCACACATGTATGAAAACACCGAAAGACGGACCTGAAAACACGAATTGTTTCTAATGTCTTCTGAAACATAAATTGTTCAAGCATACCATCCTATATTGAGTTAAAAAATAAGAGTAAAAATGAATACAAAAAAAGAATGAAAAATTAGGATCAAACACAGTAGAGAGTAATATAACACCTTGCCAAATGGTAATTCCAATTAACAAAGTATTTCATATTCAATTTTATAAATTACAATTACGAGTTAAATCAGTGAATGTTGTATTGCTACTGTGTAATAAAATATCACTTGCTATTCAACCTTTTACTTCAATTCTTTTTATGAACTCACATGTGTAAACAATTGTAAACAAAAAAAGATCCACGTCGCTTTTTGCCAACATTTTGTGATTCCGCTCACTTGTTTTACAAACCACAATATTCCATAAAAGATCTCAGTGATAAGTAACCAGATTTTCATTCATATTCAAGACGCCAGTTCCTCCTCTAATTTTTATTTCTTCCAACATTATCGCAAACTTAAAAGAGCTGAAACTTAACCACGCTTTGGCGTTATGGTCCCGTTTGCCATAAGCAGTTCCAGATAGTTGTGAGTAAATGGACAACCATTTCCCCTCTCAGCTCCATTTTGTGGACCACATCTGGCTAAAATGATCCATCATACTCCCCAGATCAATCCTCAGGAAGCGCGGGGGTTCTCAGGAATTATTACTCGCCTGTTACATTAAAGGAAATGTCTTTGAGAAGATGCAGAGCGCAGCGTAAAAAAGGAGGCGCCGAGCAATTACTTTATAATAATCATGAATTTTAAGACGATTGGTGTTAATGATTTAGCTTTTTTTCTCCGAAGAGATAAAGACACTTTAAAAGTAAGAAAACACGTTGACACCCGTTTATTTATCATAAGAACAGAATTATTGAAAAGGGGGAGGAAATTTAGAAGTTGAACGAGAGGATACTACCTACCCCTGGAACCGGTACGAGACCGACATACACGTGTAGAAAAACAGACACATGTAAACAAGAAAATAGTGGGAGTGAGAACGGAGACCACAGTGTCCGGGACGGCAGCCACCTTCGGAAAACCACATCTTCTGATCGTCTGCTCAACATGCCGCTGCCTGACACACATTTAGTCTGTCTGTTAGTGATTTACGAATGTTACGTTTCTAAATGATCCAAATTAAATCGAAGCCCGCATCTTCGAAGACGCGATAGGGTGGAGAACCACGTACTACGGAAAACCGTGAAATTCTATTCCTTCTGGGCTTTAGGTTGATTTTGATTACAGTCATATATAATGTAAGTGGTGGAGGCTCATGTTCTCGTTCAAAGGACCTTTAGAGTCATTTAGTACGGTCATATTGAAAGGCAATGGTGCAAGAAGTCGCCTGATAACGCGACCGTCAAAGCCATTGCAACTGATAGGGTTGACCGGTGGATAATATTCATTCCCAACGTATTAGGCGGCTTGTTGAGGGCTGGTGTCTTCATTTCACTGGAACATCAACTTTAGCCACGGATTGTGTCAAATGGTTAATTTTTTTATCAGAGCATGGACAGCAATTGAGTAACAATTGAAACTTGACGCGCGAATCTTCGAAGGTCATTGGGTTCACGGTAATGGTGAGACAGTGCAGTTGATCTCGGACAGACCAACCTATCAGATGTTTAAGATTTTAATCTTGTTTTGGTGGAATATCTGTCGCAGGATTCCGTCCACTCCCTACTGTTAGTACTGTGTTATGTAAAAAACATTGACTCTTACTCCTATCCTATCCGACTATACTTTTTTATTGAAGTTAACGGGGTCATATTCCGGTCTGAAGACGACTGGGACATTATACTTCACCTATTAGACTTGACACGCTAACCCTGCTACTTGTTACAAAGCAAACGTCCCAGATCCAAACGCTATGTCATTATTATTAAACAGGCTTATTAGAGGGCAACTGACAAGTGTAAAGATATGCGGTAACTGTTTATTATTGTTAGTCTTAAAGCATGCACCCGATGGCAACGGCAAATGTTGAGATTCAGTTGAAATTATGATTATGCCATGACGAGACGCATCTTCATTTTTGCAAATAGTTCCATGTACAGCTTGATGCTGAAAAGCTTTGATCTACTGTGAAAAATGTTGTTGCGCCTTGTCCTATAAGCAACGAAAAAAAAAAAAAACAAACTATTCAGCACACAACACTGTCATAATAAATTGAAAACCACCAACGCTTCGACGCGTCTGTTCTTGTCGTGTAATGGTAGCATTAGGCAGAAGTTGCATGACAAATGAATTTTAATTCTAAAGAAGTGATGAGATATACATCACTGTCGATTTCTCTTCTAACGTGATTGATTATATTTTATGCTAAGATAGCATGGTTCATTAAATAAACAGATACTGATGTTTAAACAGCATTGTAAATTAACCATTTTTCTTTGTAATTACATGCAGAAGACAGTTTCACGCTTTTCTGAACGATTTATGTTATCTTGTTAAAGAGTGCTCTTAATTTCCCAACAATCTTCAGATCGGTTTTGCGGGATTTGAATATTACGTACGTTTGTAAAAAATCTCCACATAAGAATTTTACATTTGTATAACGAAGTACCTGTCCCTCTTTTTGTAGAATGCTTAGCGAAGGTGAGAAGAAACCGTTCGTCGAAGAAGCAGAGAGACTGAGACAGAAACACAAGAAAGATTTCCCCGAGTACAAGTACCAACCTCGTAGAAGAAAACCAATGAAAGGAGCATCTGGATCGGGGGAATCCAACAACAACAATAGCAACGACAGTTCGTCCAGCTTGTCCAACGCTGTCATATTTAAAACTCTACGAGACACATCGTCACCAAGTTCATCCATCAGTGAAGGGGAATCGTGCATGTTAAACGGCTGTGCCGTGCGTGGACCCCCTACCCCACCCGCCACACCCAACCAGCACGAGCAAACAGGAACGCAAAACAAACTGGCTCACTTGAGGCATTTAGCTGGTAAGACGGATTTTGAGAAGTTTTATTTAGATAAAAGGTCTAAAAATCCATCTTTGTATTTAGTATTGCGTATGTGACATATAATTTGAAATACGCAAAAAAGTCCTTATGTGCGAAAAAGGTCCATGCGTTTAATAATCTGTCTTTCTCGTTAACAGTTTTTCACGTTCTTAACTTCACTAAGGCGTTCTCGGCCACGTTGTATTTGGCGTTAAAACTAATAAGTATTATTTGAAATGACAACTGAAAACAAATGCAGGCCAGCGCTTCGAGTTGATTTGTGAAAATCAAGTTTGACTGTGAAGTGTGCACTCAAGACATAACCTGTGGCTCGAGTGGGGTGTGTCCTAGTAAATTATACCAAGCATAATCTAAACCCGACATAAACGCTTTTTTTCAGGTCAAAGTCAACCTATAGACTTCAGTCGCGTGGATCTTGGTGAGTTTAGAGACGATGTCATCGGAAACATCGATCACTTTGACGAGGCAGAGCTTGATCAGTATTTACCTCCTAATGGGCATGCGCAACACCGTCACCATGGCAGCCAACATCCAGTGGTGAACAATGTCCCAGCACACAACAATCCGTCATCTGCGTACGGCGGTGCCCCATCTACGACGTCACCAAATTGGATGAGCACGTATCGCGTGTCCACGTCCGTCAATTATCAACCTATCTCCGTGGATACAGATCTCCATAACAACGGAAACATTCCAAATGCCGGCAACAGCGCAATACCCAGAAACTATGCTGCAGACACAAATGACAATGTCTCTCCTGGAACGCAAGTCAAAGCAGAGAACTCCCCGCCCAGCCATTATTCAACAGACAAGTACCCTTATGGCCTCCCTCCAATGTCCCAAGCCCAGCATCAGCACAGGTTCGAGCTACAGAACAACCCAAGTAGCCAAGGCAACACGTACTCACCTGGTGGATCACCCCCGGGTTTTTATGCCGCAGCGGGAAACCATCCGGCGCCTCCTCTCTACCACTACATGTCCCACAGCTCCCAGAGACCGCCATACCCGCCTTCCATGACTCTTTTAGGTGGAGAGGCACATTGGGACCGCTTTCCTAGACCCTGAGGGGAACGCAAGTGCCTGTAACACAAGCGTTTTATCCATCTGATCTCAGCACCCGGGTTTTGCTTCTTTATTTGGGGTGCACCTCTTTTTGCACGTGTCGTGTTCCCCTGTTGACAGATGATGAGTTCTAAGCTATGTTAAATGCTGTCGCGTATGCAGATTAATAGAATTTTTGGGTATTTCAAAATGGTACGATCCCTTACGCTGTGAGGTACGGGAGTGGTTGGCTTTGACAGTGATGGACAACTGTCGCGAGACAATAGAATATACGCGTGACATTCTCGGCACATTTTGGCATTGCAGATGCGTCCGAAGCGCGTTCTGCAGTCTTCTGTTGTCTCGGCTGTCCTCTCTTGAGGAGAAAGTATTAAAACAATCAGCTGGAAGGGACTTGAATTAGCTGTTAAAGTTTTTACTTAGCACATAGAAAACGCACCACAAGGAGCGAGAAACGACATCGGCATGTAAATTGCAGCAGGTAAATTATGCCGTTCCCAATCCGTTACTTATAACAGGTTTTGTAAATATAGGCAAAAATATTGTGTTACTAACTTCTTTGAAGTTGGACTAGGATTGATGAAGTATTTATTGAGCTTATGGGAAAAGATCGACTAATTGCTTTTTGGATAGTTTGAGAAGTTGTGCCATTTGCTCTTGGCAATTTGGTTCCTCTCGGGAGCAGTGAAAGTCGAAACAGTTTGAAGTACTTGTTGCGCACGGTTCAGGTGTAAGCGGAATCGCCAGGGATAAACTTGGGGTTTAGTTGAGCATATCAGGTAAACAGACATGAAAAGAGTTGTCGTTAATGAGCGATATTTTACGGTGAACACGATTTGTATATTTAGACAAGTGGAAACCGATAGCGGGAGAGTAAGATACAAGCTGTGTAAAGCAGCATTTCGTGGGTCGCGCCGTGTCACGCTCAGCAGCTGGGGAAGTCGAAATGTTGTCATTTTCGACCGTAAACTTCCTGTGACATGTGCAGGGGCCAATTGGGCGCAGGTGCAAGGGGCGCGGGGCGAAACCCGTTCCCCTTACCTCGACTTTCTCAAAGCCCTGAATGCTGTTCTAGAACAAAATGTCACAGGACGCGACTCTTAGGTCGTTTTTTAAAGTTCATTATCTTGTGTCTCTGAGGTACTTAATTTTCAAAAGATTTGGGATGAAACTTTTAAAATGTTTAATATTGATTTTCTTTTTTTCCTTGATATAAGGACAAATTTAGGGTGACGAAATACTACTAGAATGGAATCATTGAACATGTTTGTGTAGATATGTTATAACTGTTTTAATCTGTATGATAAAAAGCAAAACGAGATCCTTGTTTTTATATTTTGAGACGGATCATGTGTTTTTCTTTTTTTTAATCAGGTTTTTTTATGTTTTGTATATAGTTATATTTATATTACAGTGTAATATGAATGAAAGACCTTTTGATATTCTATTAATTTATTGTAGTTACGTTTTTTTTATCATCGATGATGTTCAGCTTGTCTATACAATGTGTAGCTGATCATTATTAGAATGTGTGAATTTTTGTCGTTATTCAGAACGATTATTTCCAAATGCGTTTTACGCACATTTGTAAATATGTGAAAACGATTGCAAGAATTTGAAGCATCTGTTGGAGATTTGATTATTTGTTCTTTTTTTAAGAATACTTTTTTGTCAATTTAAAAAACCCCTTTAGTTAAATGATTGTTTTTATTTTAAACGCCAGGTATGCATTTAAACAAACTATGCAGCGTTCCCAAGACATTAAGAAACGTTCAACAAGCTTGCTCCCTTATTTCACACGTGTCACCATGTTTTGTAAAATATATTATTCTTTGAAATTAAAAACTTTGAGAAAAAGCTACAGCACAAGTTTCCCTTTATGTTGGTTTATATTTAGCGTAAATATTTTCCAGTTAGACACTTGCCCTCGTCTGCGGAATATCTGTTTGCATAAACCGGTGGTCTTCCAAACGGCCTCCAACTTTTCAATTTTTTTTTTCATTCGGTGCTCACATTTTGCTGTTGAATGTAACCACTCAATATAACATAAACTTGTTTAAGTTGGATCCATCACCTCGAGTTTCCGGAGGAGAAAAATATGAAAATTATCCCCAAAATTAAATTTTTAATAAAAGTGTAGCAATGGAAAAATAAAGGCGTTTTAAAGGAAAAAGATCATATTTCCAGACTCTTTATGAAATTCATGTTAAACAAAATTTAATTCTTATGATAATGTTGTGTCTTGGAATGTTCTTAATGCTCACCACCATTTAAACAAATGAATGTTCTTGAACTTCACAATGATCAGTTCTCAATAAAATAGAAGCGTTGGCTTTAGCCTTGATTGCTGCCATCCAGTGACTTGCAGCTTGCCGCTTGTTTTGTATACATTTCAAATATAGACAAACACGCAAATTTTGCCTTTGAGAAAAAAGAACCGTAGAATCGAGGAAAAAACGATGCCCTTTCTATAAAAACGTTTTCGAAAAAAAAAAGGCAAGAGACGATGAGAAGGTTAAGTGACATTTACGTACTTCATTATTACATTAAAAATTGTGAGATAAAGTTGATTAAACGGTTTACAGATTCATTAAAATCGTCAGTTTTCGTTCTCATCGTCCTCAGAGCAAGTTTAGAAAATTCCAATGTTGATATCATATACATTGAGTTGGCGTATGTTACACTGTGAGCAAATGGCGAAAAAAGTTTTTTTTTGTCAACAGTTTTAAATAAGAAAAGACAATCCGGCAAAAGAACAATACACGCATATAATCAAATTACAACTCCTTGCATTACTGGAAGAAACTTTAGACCCTTTTTGCGTCGTAATGTACGTACTTCGATGGGATGACATGCCATAAAATAACGTCACCTTAGACCTGCGATCGGAAGAAGCTTTTCACCCCTGAAATTTATAACCCGACATCGTGTTGTTAATGTAACTCGGTAGCCAGCCACAGGAAATCACAGCTCAGCTGAGTAGCCGCCGAAGAATGTGGCACTTACCTGGATGTTCTCAGAGTTTTTGAACCACCTGATCAATCAGGTCGAGAGCTTCATTGATAATAACGGGGCCCGGGAGAGGGGGTAACTAGGAGGAGAGGGGATTTTACCGATTATCACGGCCCCTGGATTTAATCATTTGCCAGGAACGGGAATATACAGCATTTGAATTTATTAGCAATCTTAGGCGTCCTGCTTTGATATGTCGTATAGAGCACAGTTGCATAGCCCCATCCTGTTGATTAGGTCAGTTATAATTTCCTTTCCTTTTAATTTCTTCATTTGCTATTTGGTAATCAAAGTTAGATTCCACCGCCTACTTCCTACTTATCTCTCAGCGGCCGAAACTGTTTTAGTTGAAGTTATGGAGTAAATCAAACCCTGAAAGACGACTTGTTATATTTCGACTGTGTGATAAATCAAAGTGCTGAATTGGCCGTGTAGCCACAAGTATACTACAGTTTAAATATACAGGGATGCGTGCCAACATTGCGTCTGACAGGGCTAATTATCCAGGACTTTTCAATAAATGTGGTTTTTCTTTGAGAACGACTAATTTCGAAATCTATGGCATAAATTTTGCTAGACTTTATAAATTCATCAATTTATTTTCGAAAAAGTTCAGTTTCGTTATAGGTCATTAGCATGAAAAACTTATTAAAACATAAAACAGAATAGCATTTATACGAACTACTTGGACTATTAATGAGTGCCTTGAAATGGACTTGATATTAATCGCGGAAAAATAGCTCTTGTTTATTTTCAAAGTCATTACTGGACTTGATATTAATCGCGGAAAAATAACTTTTGTTCATTTTCACAGTTAGACATTTTGTTAAGTTTAGCCTTTTATTAAAAAAAGAAAGAACAAAAAAGTTGTGTTTTTATTTTAGTACATTCTATCACAATAGGCCTAACAATTTTTCTCGCCGAATGTATGAGTGTAAAACCATTAACAATCAAAATAGATCTAAATCGGCGTACTTCCATGTTTTGTGTCCATCTACCTTCGTAAAAAAAACCCTTAATTTCTCGATGCACCCCCCTGACAGGAAGATCCTTTGCGAGATAGCTACACTAATACTATCAACTGGACGATTAAATTTGGTAAATTGCCAGCGCGAATACCTCGGACTTCGCTGGGTCAGACGTCCTATCCTTCTTTTGAACAAATATTAGCTGACTATCAGTCAATATGGAAAGCAAATAAGCCCCTAAATTTGTCTTCAAGTGGCAAGTTAAGAAGGAGGTACGATCTAACGTGGCAGAACGCTATCTTATGATCCCCGGTTTTGGCCTACTGATAGGTATCGTTGACGAGCTAAAAAACACTCCCGTCGCCATCTGATACTGAACGCAGAAATAAAAAAATTATTGGGTTTTCATTCATATTTAACAGCCAATTGCCGTTTTCAGATTCGTATGTGTGCTTCCGTTTCGTTTTAAGAACATAATCTGATACTTTTTGTTTACTTTCTTATACTTTATTTTAAAGAGGGGCGACTTCAGATACGGCCAAGTTACAACGTAACCTTGGATCAATTATGATTTTTTCCACAGTGAATGTTTTGATGAACTCTGCAGATGAAAGACGAACGCACCATGTGTAAAATCATAATGTAAAAATCCAACCCCTACAGTGGAGAAACGGTGAAAATGCAATCTCAGATATGTGTTGGTACTATAAATGGTTCATCCTCCCGGACATTTTGATTTGTTCGTGTTGTCTTTATAATAATTTGAACGAACTAAGACATTCCTGCAGGAAGTTTAAACAGTAGTAACAATATTTGCAGTTTCTTTTATTTGACAACAGTGTTACAAAACAAATGTAAGCTAATCTTGCTTAAAAAATAAATGAAGTTACATTTCTGAACTTTTCGAATGTCTTTAGGTCTAGTTAGGTCTAGGAATTTTGGGAAAAAGTAGGGTTCAAAGAGACAAATATATACTTTAAACTGGGAGATGACAGAGCTGGGAATTCATCAGTTATAAATAAAGTTAAGGAATGACAATGGTTTGAGGTCAGTTTTATATTTAAAATATTAAAACTTTCATAATGAATTATTTAACACCAGAAAACTAGCCAAAATCCCAGTCTGTCCTAAAACTCTAATTGCCTTCAAGGTTAAAGTCAACTTCAAGGTCCAGATTAAATTTCTTAAGTCACCTTTTTATTTTTCTCCTTTGACTGCAGACTCAAACCCCAAAACTGACAAAATTATACAACATATGGAGCAAGAAATTAAACTCTCAAACCACTGATATAAAAGGTGGAACACAGATATAATTTGCAACATATGCTCCTTCCTTTAATTCCTTTAATGGGTAGGGAAACATTTGGTCATTGCAGGACCAATTGTCATATGTTTTTCCTGTAAAAATACAAAATTAAATCCATGAAAGTTCGGAAGAACAACAAAAATAATTACGAAATTCAAATTTGACATTGAATCCACCAACATTTTCTCTTGTTTATGACCAAATATGATTCCTTATATTGAAAATGCATGGTGGTGGTTTCCCCTTTCTGGTAAAGGTGTCCTGTCCTCAATTCTCTGTTCATAGACCTCAAGTCTGTTGCCTAATGTATTTGTATGGTTACTACCACTGACAGACGGTTTCATATCCATGTCTATCTGATGGTAGAACAACACATTTTTGCTAATGAGGTTAATTCCAAATATCTGTGCACCAAAAAAGAACACCAAGACTTTGGGACCCCTTCAAATACTCATCACCATTTTTGAATTTCAAAAATATTTTGATTGTCTCTTTCTTGGATATTAAACACTAAATAATTGGATAATAATTGGTACAAAAACCCAAAACAAATTATTTACACAGACAGATACAGTTTTACTAGAATATAAACTATACATATATATATATACATATATACAATATAAATGTGGTCATACCCATCTAATTTAATGCCATTCCTCAGCAAAGTGGGTCTTGTCTTGGCCATTGATCTGCAGGGCCTGCATTATCAAGTATGGCACAAAACAAACTCAAATATTGATAAATATGTGGCCTGTCATAGACTAAAGATCTGCGTGATTAGCTGGGTGCTCTTTCTGGAACCCCAGTTATTTGCACTCATTCTCATCATTAACTTGCACTGGATCACATCAGGTTAATTAACTAATTGACTGCTTATTTAATTGAAGGCCTACGAGGCCAGGTTAAATTCTCTGCTCCAATCTCATTCAATGTGACAAAGTGTTTGTTTTTCATATCTTCCCTGCCTTCAAATAAAACAAACATAAAAACTGCATATCTGATGCTGCCTACTGGGATCCATTTAGTAAGGAATCTTTTTCCTAAACATGCTCTCAGTCAGGTGGGTGAAAAACTCAAGTTCCACCTAGATTCTTTTGATTTTGTCTTTATTTCTCTATAATCTAAAAACAATTATGCACCAAGTAACTGTTGCTGGACTTTTTTCTGATCATCTCGGTATGTTTTTATTTAAACTGGCACAGATGCACCAGTTAAGATGTTGTGGTGATGGCTCCAACAGTGGTCAAACGGTTCCTCCTGGGCTGTGGTCATCGTGGTCAAAGATGTTACATAGGGAACAAAATCAGTTTTCACAATGATCTCAGAATTTCTAAAAATATCTGGCAAATCATTGTGAAAACCAGTTTCATTTAAGGTGACCGCACCAACTGCAGCCGACGGTGTTTGCTGGAAAAACAAAAGGTTACTAATTTGAGCACAGGTCAACATATTCTTAGGCAAGATCAACACTGTAACATCATCCATTATCCAAACAACTAATTAATGATTTATTCCAAAGACAAATACCACTTTAAAAGCCTGGAAGCAGTAGCAGAACCGAAAGGTGACCACAACACGTGTTCCCAGTCAGACTGAGCCAAACTCTCAGGCTCGAGGGCCTCTCCAGTCATGGACGCACCCAGGGTAACGTAAACAGCTCACTTCCACCCTCGCTTCCCACCCCTCGGACATCTCGGTATATGTAGCACCTATGAAAATAGATGTAACAACATAAAAAGT